TTTATTGTGCTTCACAGATATTACATTTTTTCTTCTTCTTCTTCTTTTTTTTTTTTTTTTACAAATTGGAGGTTTGTGGCGACCCTGCATCAAGCAAATCTGCTGGCACCATTTTTCCAATAGCATTTGCTCACTTCGTGTCTCTGTGTCATATTTTGGTAACTCTTGCAATGTTTCTTTTTTTCTGGCCATGCCGTGTGGCTTGTGGGACCTTAGTTCCCTGATCAGGGATTGACCCTGGGCCCTCGGCAGTGAAAGTGCGGAGTCCTTACCACTGGACCACCAGAGAATTCCCCAGTTCTTGCAATATCTCAAACCCTCCACCAGCAAAAAGATTACAACTCACTCAGATGACGGTTAGCATTTTAGCAATAAAGTATACACTGTATTTTAAGATATCATGCTATTATTGTACACTTAATAGACTGCAATATACTGTAAACAAAACTTATACGCACCAGAAAACCAAAAAACTTGCTTTATTGCGATATTTGCTTTACTGTGGTGGTCTGGAACCAAACCTGCAATATCTCTGAGGTATGCCCGTATGCACACACATACAGAGTCTTTGAGAGCAGAGAGTTTAAGCATGGACACATAAAGTTTCAATGCTAGGATATCTGGCTTTCACATTCAGTTTCCAAATCTAAACTCGACAAACCACAAAGCCCTTAAACAGATGAACTACTCTGGTGAATCAAAGGCTCTTGGGAAGCTCTGTGGACCGATGCAGTCCTGGTGGGAACCCTTCTAACTAGATTTGCAGCGGCATGAACGGTCAGGTCCAAATAGTATTGACTAGGCCGTCTTTTCCACTGGCATGCTACAGGGCTCTGGTTTTGTTCTTTTCCTGGTTGAAAATTTCATAAAAAATTTTTTAATAGGCAGTACATATATGTTGTCAACACTTTAATGGTATAAAAGCTTAAACAGTGTAAAGAAAGTCTCCTTCCTATTCTGGTCTTCCAGCTTCCCCTTCCCTCCCCAGAGGCAGTCACTGTTGTGTTTCGTATGATTCTTTCCAAGATATTCTTTGAATATACAAGCATATTCTTTGAACATACACACACAAATGGTAGCACAATATATATGCTGTTCTGCACTTTCCCATTTATTAATTATCTTAGAATTTTTTCCAAAGAACTTGAAGGCAACTTGAAGATCTTTGGCCCTTCCCTCTTCTGCTAACCCCAGCCAAAGATGGGGACAATATTAGTTTCAATAAGAACAATAATCACAAAAGATTGAAATGCTTTAAATATATTTAAATCCAAGAACTCATAATGATTTTTAAACAGAGCAAAATTTCACTGTTTGTTTTTGGAGAACATGAGAGTATTAACTCATTCTTCTGAAAACTGGTAAATGAAAGAAAAGACTCAAGCAATTCTCTTGCCTTTTCTTTACAAACTGAACCTCAAGGTAACCAGATAGTTGATAGGGGAAATTTCTCTTTAGAGGCGTGATAGAATTAGAATATTACTATTTTTCGGTTCTTTACCAGTTAGTGGATTTAGGCAATAATCATCAATGGCTGCTAACATTGCAAAAGAGAAACGACCAGACGTTATGTGCCTCTCCTGATGGGAGTACACACTCCATCTGTGCCACGGACATTGAATATGTACAAAAGTAAAAAGGAATATTACAATGAACCCATCACCCAGCTTTGACTGTTACTGACTCATGGCCATTTTAATTTCACCTGTAGGCCCCCCGACCTCTCTTTTTAACCACCCAAGCTTCCCCCCACCTCCCAATTATTGTATTTAAATTTTTGGTATTGCCCAGCTGCACTCCACAGAGGTTCTAGCAGTTTCTCCTCTTACCAGCAGTATGTGAAAATCCAGTTTTTCTTACATTCTTATCAGTGTGGTTGAATATTTTTCACTCTTGCTAGTGTGATAGGTTAAAAAATGGCATTTCATTATAGCCTTAAATTGCATTTTTTGGTCTCATAATTGAGGTTGAGCATCTTTCCGTATGTTTAGGGGTAATTTGTATTTCCTTAACTGTGAAGTGTCTGCATATTTTTGGTCTTTTTCTTACTGTTTTTTTTTAATTAATTAATTAATTTTTGGCTGCATTTGGTTTTCATTGCTGTGTGGGCTTTCTCTAGCTGCGGCGAGGGGGGGCTACTCTTCGTCTCTGTGCGTGGGCTTCTCATTGCAGTGGCTTCTCTTATTGTGGAGCACGGGCTCTAGGCGCGTGGGCTTCAGTAGTTGTGACACGTGGGCTCAGTAGTTGTGGCTGTTGGGCTGTAGAGCACAGGCTCAGTAGTTGTGGCGCACAGGCTCAGTTGCTCCATGGCATGTGGGATCTTCCTGGACCAGGGCTCGAACCCGTGTCTCCTGCATTGGTAGGTGGGTTCTTAAGCACTGCGCCACCAGGGAAGTCCCTTTCTTACTGTTTTGTAGAGGCTTTTTTTCATATCAAAGGAATTAGCAACTGGTTTGTAATATGAATTGATAATAATCTTTCCCAGTTTGTTGTTTTTCTTTTGATTTTAATTTTGCTTATGGCGGTTTTTTGCCATTTAGATTAAAAAAAAATTTAATGTAGTTGAATTCATCAATACTTTATGACTTTTAGATTCTGTCTTTTCCACTTTGAGATTATAAAACTGTTCTCCATTTTCTTTGGTTCCTCTGTGATTTCATTTTTTATGTCAAAGTCTCTGATCTCTCTGGAATTTATTTTGATGTAAGGAGTGAGGTAGGAATATATCTCAGTTTTTGTCCAGTACACTACCCACTTGTCACAGTACCTTTTACTGAATAGTCTGTCTTTTCTTCAGGAATTTAAGATGTCACCTTTGTCATATACTAAATTCCTTAATTCCAATGTGTATTTAATTCTGTTTCTGAACTATCTTGTTTATTTAATCGACATCTACCTATTCATATATCAGTGCCACATTGTTTTAGTTGTTGTAGCTTTATAATATGGGTTAATTAATACCTTAGAAAACTATCTCCTCCCCTATCCCCCACCGCATGCACACAAGACTCTTTGTCTCTAGAATTTTTATGGCTATTCTTCTGTGTTTAGTTTTACTTATAAATTTTAGAATGAATTTATTTAGTTCTCATAAATGTCATGATGGTTTTTTCATTGGAATTGAGTAAAATTTATAGATTTGCATAAAAATAATTGACATCTGTTGTGTTTTACTAACTCAGCCGAGATAGACTAGGAATATAAATAAAAATTCTTGCATTTATGTTGAGGAAACATCAGTTGCATAAAATATAGTCATTTATTAAACAACTAATTTAGTCTGTGTGCCAGACAATATTTTATATGCTGAAGAGAAAGCAGATTATTTAAATTAATCGTAGGTAGTTCCTAGGCTCCTTGCCGTTTGTTAAGATCAAGCTTGGCATCATCTCATGTGAAGAAATTTTAGTTTCAGCTGACCACCAGTCTCACGTCAGCCGACAGGCTCATGTGGTTGCTTCTGAGTTATTATAATCCCGGGCTGCATTAGAGGATGCGCAGAGAGGGAGAAGTAGAGTGTAGTGAATGAGGGTTCAGGCTCTGGAGGCAGACAGCAGGGGTGTGAATTAGGTGCCCTGTGACCTTGGCAGGTTATTTAACCTCTTCGAGCTTCAGTTTCCTCAACTGTAAGATGGGCTTGTGTATGAGGCTTAAATGAGATAATCCAAAAAGCAATGATGTGTACTTTGGCTGGCATTCTGGTGTTCTATAAATATAACTGGTGTTCTATAAATATAACTAATATCATTTATATTGGAAATCTGACTCTGCTGGTCTGATGGTATCTTGTTTATTATGTTCAGTTCATGATACCATTATTTAGAAATGGGAGGCAATAGAAGAAAATATCTACAAGAGGGCAGCCAGATCATAAGAAGAGAGTAATAACCTAGAGACATTAAAGAAATAGTAGGCCTTTTACTGGAATAGAGAGGGTGAATGAGAAACAGGATGGCCGGATACTTATTTTGTATTGCTTGGGGTGTGGGGACTGAAACCATCTAGTGGAATTCAGCTTAACATAAGAAAAATCTTTCTGGCAGCTACATCTGTTCAACAGTGGAATGGCTCTGTAGCAAGGTGTTTGTCAGAAGAAATGTTCAATCTGGATAGCCATTTGTTAGGGGAACTGCAAAAAGAGTTTCTGTATTAGGAAGATGAGGCTAAACCAAGGGGTTTTCCTACGAAATTCTAGTGCAAATGTACACATATGCAATCACATATGTAGAAAATTCTCTGTTTATGGCTTATCCGTTTTCAAAGAATTTTAATTCTTTGAAACCGCATTTGATCCCTTTCTGAGTGAGAGGATATTGCAGTGCCTTGGGATCCTTGTGAACATGAGCGATCATCAAAGGAATGGAAAAATGAGGAGACTCAGGAATCAGCTTATTTCACTTCTGTCTCTTTGTCTATTGTTACCTTGGAGACAAGTCCCTTCTCTCACAGCCCCATCTTTTCCGTCTAGGGTGTTAATCCTTGCCCCCCACTTTGAGCATGAGTCTTTAAAAGAACAAGCACATTATTGGAAGTTTTCTACCTCTTAGTGTGTATGGATCTTTTTGAAGGAAGGTGCTATTTGTGCCTAGCAGACAAGTGACAAAGAAAAGTATACAACGCTATGAACTTGGCTTTGGCCTTGCTCCTTGTAGCACTAACATTAGTTAGTGCTGGTACATTAGTGCTGGTACATTATTTTTTCTGCTACTCTTTTATCGCTGTAAACGTAACCATGGCATGTTAGAAAAATTTAGTGAAGTTATATAAAAGAGGTAATATTTAATAATCTATTTATTTCAGCTCCATCTCCCACTGTTCTTCCGGCAGGCCCTCAGTGACTTGCTGTCCTTTCCAAAGTTATGTTCTGTAAAACTTTTTGCCGTCACCAGGTAACATGTACAGTCACCTTGTAGGTACTGTGTTACCATGTTAAGTGAGAAACCTGGTGAATGTGAACACACGCTGAGTTGATCTCTAAACTACGGTTCCTGTATTTTCAGTGAATGACGAACCCACTGCAGCCACTGACCCCGAAGGACCCTCCGCTGTTGCTGTGGTGTCCCCGTCTGCTGCGGCATCGAGTGCGGTCCCCAACCCCGCCACCGCGACACTCCCTGCCACGGCCACGCCGGAGGAAGGAGAGGAGCCCAGCACTTCGGGTACCCAGCAGCTCCCAGTGGCTGCCCAGGCCCCTGATGCTCTGCCTGCTGGGTGAGTAGCCTTCTGTCCCACAGCAGCACCTCCCTCCCCACCCCCTGAAATAAAAAACAACTGAGGCTCCTTCACCAGGGTAGAAACAACGTGGTTATTTATTACCTGGTGGCTAGTAGTCTCTGGGGAGGCTGCCATGCACAGGAACAAGGGAGGTGTGGGAGAACTGCTCGTTCTGCATAAATCTTGAAGAGGATCTAAATCATCTAGGGCAGAATCAATGGTACCTTATACCGTGACTTGAGATGCACAGCTTGACTCAAAGAATGTGGCTTTTATGGAACAAGGAGCTCATTTTGCCCTCCAGCATCACTGGATTTGCCTGGATCCTGCCTAGAAAACAGCTTTTCTCCCTTGCGTTTTATCTCAATGGCCCATGGAGGACTTCAGGCTCTGAATATTACTGTACGTTATTCCCATGGCCGGGGCTGACGTTAGCGCGGGTTCCTGGTTTTCTTGGAGCCATCTTTTAGTTCAGAATTAAATCTGATGCTGAAGGCCTTGAATGACAAGAAGACGGCCCCAGCAGGCCAAAAGCAAGTGGAGATTAATAAAAGCATGGACCTGGGAATCAAGTAGATCTGGGTTTAACTCCCCACTCAACCCTTTATGACTTTGCCTGCGTGACTTACCACCTCGGTAAGGTGGAGGTAATAATCATGCATATCTATCTCCCCAGGAAGTTAAGGGACTCAAATAAGACAGTGTATATGAAGCCCTCACCCAATGGTGGGTGTTTTACCTGGTGAATGATATTTTTTAAGTGGGTATGAAGGAAGCATAAAGGAACAGAACAGTTCTGAACTGGGAAACAGAGTCTTATCTAAGGACTGCTGATCACTTTCAGGGCCAGTCCTGTTGTGGTCCCAATGCCCATCCTGGTTATCAGTTGGTACTGAGAAAACCAATGTCCATATCACCACAGTCACCATGGTCTGGCCGGTGGTGGTGGTGTGGGGTGATTCACAAAGGAAAAGGGAAGGATGGATGGTCTCTTGCTTGATGTATAACATTCTGTATTGTTCTTAAACCACTTTAGAAAACCCAGTTGTTTAAGCAAAAAATCCTAAATCCGAAGGCATTTGTGATCCCCAGCATTTGGCACACAACTTAACTTATATTTCTTAATAAAACACAATGAACACGTGAAAAGTATTGCAAATAGTTTTTAATACCTCAAACCCGGAGAGAATTGGGGGTATTGAGAGGTGGCTCCAAGAAGTCTTCTGTGAAGTTTTTGATTTTGTGAAAAGATTCATAAGCAATTGCTTGTGTGTAACTCCTCCCTACAGAGGCGTTCTTTTTTTCTCTTTAGTACGTGGTAAGGAATACTTGAAAGACCTTTGTTTGGTTTATAATTTGAAATCTGTATATAATTTGGGGGGAGCAGGGCAGAATCATTTTGGCAGAAAGGAGAGAAAATGGCTGCCAGGGTGCTCCAGGAGCTGTTTGTTTGCTTTGCGCTGAGCAAATGCCTGGAGGGCGGGCTTCACTCCCGGTGTCAGTCACAGGCAATTAGGGCTAATGGCTCAACGCGTCTTTATGTAGGGCGTGTGTGAGGGTTACTGTTCTCCTGGATTGGGCTCTTCCTGTTTCCAGGCAGCTGGAAAACTCCAGGCCTTGAAAACACCCTTTATTCTGAGTCTGGCGATTGAGAAGCCTGTTCTCCTGCCCCCCACCCCCGCCCAACCAGAGGCTGAAACGCTTTTCCTGAGTACAGTTTGAACAGCATCTTCTCCGTGGAGCGTTTAGAATGGGATGAGGCCCTGTGTGTGGGTCTGGGGAGGCCACTTCCCACTTGAACATGTATCATGGTCCAGAGAAGGGTACCGAGACCCAGTTTTCCAGCCCAGATGGACTTCCAGGTGCCCACTGGAAGCTCCGGTACTTTGTGGGCTGTCTCAGGGCCTGGAGATTGCCAACGGCACTGCTGAGTGTGTGGCGGTGAGGATGGCAGGCTTTCTGTTCTCGGCTCTGTGACAGCAAGCCAGAAAGGGCGCACTTTCCACTGTGAGCTTTCCAATTCACAGACCTACCGTCCCCGCCCTAGCTTATTTACAAGTTTAGGAGATTCAGACAAGATGAGTTATTCCTCTTTTCCTGGTATCTTTTTTTTTTTACTTTTCTGAAATTATTCTATTTTTATTAAAAAAAATTTTTTTTAATTGGGGTATAGATGCTTTACAGTGTTGTGTTAGTTTCTGCAGTACAGCAAAATGAATCAGCTATATGCATACATATATCCCCTCTTTTTTGGCTTTCCTTCCCATTTAGGTCACCACAGAGCATTGAGTAGAGGTCTCTGTGCTATACAGCAGGTTCTCATTAGTTACCTATTTTATGCATAGTAGTGTGTATATGTCAATCTCAATCTCCCAGTTCACCCCACCCCCGCCTTTCCCCCCTTGGTATCCATATGTTTGTTCTCTACATCTGTGTCTCTATTTCTGCTTTGCAAATAGGTGCATCTGTACCATTTTCTAGATTCCACGTATATGCGTTAATATACGACATTTGTTATTTCTGGTATCTTGCATTCAGAAGTCAGGGGACCACTTTTAACCTTTTAAAATAAAACTCCGAGCATGACATTTCGCCACTTAGAATGCTGCAATGGCTTCCTATTGTCTTTAGGGATAAATTCTCAAATCTTAATAAGACCTAAAAAGCCCTGCAGTGTAGGACCTCATCTACCCCTGAAGGCTTCCATGGAAGACATTCTTTGCTTTGCTCTCTAAGCTGTAGCTGTAACTTATTTTAGTTTGACAGATGTACCACCCTTTCTCTGGAATTGGGACCCTCTGCCATAACGGTTACCCTTTCTGAAACCTTCCTCACCATTTTGTCCATTACTTTCTATCCATCTTCAAGTCTCAGATTAATCAGCACTTCCTCTGGGAATCCTTCCTCTATCCCTGGTAGACAAGGTCAGACCACCCTGTGTACTATAACTTCTCACACGTGTAATTGCATGTTTTGCGTCTCTCTGCCCTGCTGGGCTGTAAACGCCAAGATGGCAAGAAGCCTGTCACAAAGTCGGCCCCCAAGACATACTTGTAGTGAATTAATGAATCGATTTAAATGCCATCTTTTTTTTTTTTTCCTCCACCTGGATGAATGTTTTCTGCTTCTTTGATGCTTCAAATAAAGAGGAACTATGACAGGAATACTGCATTTTCTTCCCAAGAACAAGACCCTAAGGGGTTACTAACTAGGCTAGGTTGTCTGGCTTTGGGTTCAAGTATGAATCTCTCACAGGGTCAGGATGCTCTTCCCTGCTCACTAGGGGTCCTCATGCCCTGGGAGACACTGTGAACCTTGTCTCCCCTTTGCTAAGGCATTTCTGAGCCATGCTAGACTGCTTTTTCACGGCATCCAGCTGACTTTGTCTCTTTCTAACCTTACCTTCTCAACCTCCTTTACAGAGGGATCGGGCACAGTTCATCTGGGGATCCCAAGGGCTTATTTTTCCAGTTGCTGCATTGCCTTTCTAAAACTTGCAGCAGATGAGACTGGACATAAAGATGTCACGTCCGTCTGTGTGTTTTAGTGACCGAAGGCCACCGAAAACTGGGCCACATAAATCCAAATAGAACACCCTTTATCTCTTTCCTCTCTCTCCCTGTCTCCAAACCCTCCTGCTTTCCCTACCTTTTAATTTAATTAGCACGAAAGGAGCTAGTTGGAAGGGCACGGTGTTTTCAGCTGGCAAATGTCCATTAAAGGAGGGGGTGCCTGCCAGGAAGGCTCGGGAGACATGGTGAGATAGTGGTCCGGGCAGTGGGCAGTGCGGAGGGAGGCCACTTTGATCAGCTGGCCCTGCATCTGGTTTTTATCAGCAGGGAGCCCACTTTGGGGACCAAATGCTCATTAACAGACCGTGTGTACATGGCTTAGATAAACTCCAAGTGCGTCCCAGGCTCTGCAGCTCGCCCAGGCCCTCTCACACAGAGGCACATTATTTCACCCTGGCAGCCCACGCTGTGCTGTGGTTTCTTACATAAGGGAGGCCGTTGTGTTTGGACTCTGCCGACTTACCTCAGCACTGCCACTTCACACCATCCCTCTCCTCTTGCAGTCATTGGCTGCCCTGGCCGTTTCCTGCCTCAGAGTAGAAATAATTGAGGAGGGTGTTTTCTGGATCTGTTTGATTTGCCATCTTCCCCTACCCCCAGGCCCAGTAATGGAGACCCAGAGGTCCTCTCTCCAGGTGGTCCTTGACACACTATCAAGGATGACAACCTGGTAAGAGTTCTTTGATGTTTTCTTTGTAGAGACACTTTAAGAGACGTTGGAATTTGCAGCTTTTCTGCTAAGTTATAAACCAGCTGCTGCCACTGAATTTCATTCCAAACTCAATTTTGGCGCTAGCCAAAGATCCTTACCCAAGGAGTTTTAAAGCAGTGCTTCTGAAACTGTCTGTGAAGAACTAATCCTTGTTTTTTTTTTCCTTCTGGTTTTGTTTGTTCTGTTTTAATTTTTTTTTTCAATCTCTTATGAACCTTTACTTTTGTCCTCTGTTCTGTTCAGTGAGGCAGATCTACAGATCACATATTTGGATGTTGTGGCAATGTCAAATTGGTATAAAGGTTTCTAAACATCTAGAAGCTTCTGTACTTTTCTGGTTGCTGAATAGTAACAGTTTGAGCCATGGACCATACTTCAGTAGCAAAGGATTAAAGGATTATACTGGAGAATCTGTGCCTTTTTGCTAAGTAGTATGGTTTAGTTCTTGACTCTGCAGGGATTATTACATGCTTAGTTAATGGCAGATAGTACATGTTCCTGGCTCGCTCCTCCTCGTCTCAGGACGAAAGCCTTGTTTCCAAAGATTCTACTGTTGTTGGGACTGGCCCATGAGAAGTTCTTGCCCTGCTATATGTATGTATTCATGTGTAATTAGGAATTTTCTTTCTTTTCTTTTTTTTTTTTTTTTTTGCTGTACGCGGGCCTCTCACTGTTGTGGCCTCTCCCGTTGCGGAGCACAGCCTCCAGACGCG